CTTCTCCTTCTGGGACCCCTATAATGCAAATGTTGGTGTGTTTAATGTTGTCCCAGAGGTCTCTTATGCTGTCTTCATTTCTTTTCATTCTTTTTTCTTTATTCTGTTCCGCAACAGTGAATTCCACCATTCTGCCTTCCAGGTCACTTATCCGTTCTGCCTCAGTTATTTTGCTATTGATCCCTTCTAGTGTATTTTTCATTTCAGTTATTGTATTGTTCATCTCTGTTTGTTTGTTCTTTAATTCTTCTAGGTCTTTGTTAAACATTTCTTGCATCTTCTTGATCTTTGTCTCCATTCTTTTTCCAAGGTCCTGGATCATCTTCACTATCATTATTCTGAATTCCTTTTCTGGTAGGTTGCATATCTCCACTTCGTTCAGTTTCTTTTTCTGGGGTTTTATCTTGTTCCTTCATGTGCTACATAGTCCTCTGCCTTTCCATTTTGTCTATCTTTCTGTGAACGTGGTTTTCATTCCACAGGCTACAGGATGGTAGTTCTTCTTGCTTCTTCTATGTGCCCTCTGGTGAGTGAGGCAAGAGGCTAAGAGGCTTGTGCAAGCTTTCTGATGGGAGGGACTGGTGGTGGGTAGAGGTGGGTGTTGCTCTGGTGGGCAGAGCTCAGTAAAACTTTAATCTGCTTGTCTGCTGATGGATGGGGTTGAGTTCATTCCTTTTGGTTGTTTGGCCTGAGGCAACCCAGCACTGGAGCCTACAGGCCCTTTGGTGGGGCTAATGGACTCTGGGAGGGCTCACACCAAGGAGTACTTCCCAGAACTTCTGCTGCCAGTGTACTTATCCCGCAAGTGAGCCACAGCCACCCCCCACCTCTGCAGGAGACCCTCCAACACTAGCAGGTAGGTCTGATTTAGTCTCCTGTGGGGTCACTGCTCCTTCCCCCTGGGTCCTGATGCACACACTACTTTGTGTGTACCCTCCAAGAGTGGAGTCTCTGTTTCCCCTAGACCTGTTGAAGTCCTACAGTCAAAATCCTGCTAGCCTTCAAAGTCTGATTCTCTGGGAATTCCTCCTCCTGTTGCCAGACCCCCAGGTTGGGAAACCTGACATGGAACTCAGAACCTTCATTCCAGTGGATGGACTTCTGTGGTATAATTGTTTTCTAGCTTGTGAGTCACCCACCCAGTGGTTGTGGTTAGTTGTGATTCTGGTGCTCTCGCAAGAGGGAGTGAGCGCATGTCCTACTTCACCATGTTGAACCAATCTCTACGCAGTCTTTTGACAACACCCATGGCTGCCTCTTGCTGGTACATACATGGAAGAGAAGAGATGATTGACATTTAAATTTAGAAACGGCTCCAGTTTGGGAACAAAATATTGTACTTAGTTTTCTGTACTTCTGATTCATCACAGAAGGAATCATGATGTCAATGCCTTGCAGGGTTTTAAAAGGTCCCTACATATGCTCCCTTTCCAATATTTCTCCTTTGGCGCAGGTTTAATGACAATTTGGGGGGGCCTTCAGTTGAGCCAGGAGGGCTGCTGGACTTGGAAGAAAGAGAATGTTTTCAGGAATTATCCCCTTTCCTCTCCTTCCCTGCCTCAGCTAAACCTGTCCATCTGATTAGCACAAGAATGATCAGCTTTTCCCCACCTGACTGAGAAGTATGGGTTCCAGGATGATGATCCTTTTGGTTTGCAAATCTCATGCAGATGACGCCCCTGAGGATTCCTGCGCCGTCTCTGGATTGGCCCAGCTGGGTGCCCCATGCTTTGCGAGATCTGCAGTGACTGAGGTTATGTCTTCTTCTGGTCCTTTTTTATTTCTGATCTCCACCAGACCCTGGCCCAGCACTGTGTACTTGGGGAAGTTTAGACCCGAGGGAGAGGCTATTAGCAAAAGGGTCTCAACAAACTAGCTGTAGCTAAAGCAAAGGAAGAGTTTCTAGAAACTAAGCAGTCTCCTGAAAGAATGTTACACCAGATTGTGTTGTCAAAATAAGATCTCTCTGTCTCTCTGTCTCTTTGTCTCTTTGTCTCTCTCTCTCTCTCTCTCTCTCTATATATATATATATTTTTTGCTGACTCACTTTGCTGTAAACTTCAAACGAATACAACATTGTAAATCACTATAATTAAATTTTTAAAAATTTGGGAAAAAAGATCTCTGTGGGGAAAAATCCATTTTTTTAAAAGGGAAGAAAAGAAAAGGAAAAACAGGCAAAGGATGGCTCAAACAACCTCTTTCCCTGAGCTCTCTGTCAAGAAGGATCATAGCACCAGCCAAAAGATTAGGGAGTTTGGACACCAATGGAGAGAGAGAAAGAGGTGAGGGAACTGTTGACCTTAGATCCGCTGATCAGGGACCGCAGTGAGGTTGTGTGGCTTTGTGAGTGCCCTTTTATCAAATATCCAGAGATAGTCTCTTTGCTATTTCTGAGAATGAGGTAAGGAAAGGAAGTCAGCTTTAAAATGACCACTTTGTCAAGAAAGAACAGAGAAAGCGGTATAAACATTTACCTTTTTCTTGCAGTTCTACAAAGCTCAACTAATTCCTTTGCATTTAACTGACTCACCTTGAAAATCTACCATGTCCCAGGCACTGCGACCTATATTCTTGCCCTCTAGGGGTTCATAGTCTAGCGAGGGAGGGAGAAAAATGACCAGATTGCACCAGAGGGGCCAAGTTTTGCCTGCACCCCTGTGACCTCTGCAGTGGGAGTTCTGCCCAAAGGCTGGAAGGCACAGCACTCATGCCACGGGGCTCCACCTCTCATGTGCTATAACTGGGCCAGCGATGGGCACCGGATGGCTCGTCGGGGGTCTAGCCCTTAGGTAACTCTAAGTTGAGCCAACCCAGCTTCTCACATGACAATTTGTAATTGGGCTGCTGAGAGACAAAGTCAGTTAGATGTGGGGAACAAACTTGAAATTTACAGAGACTGGGGCTGAAGTCACCTGGAAGAGCCACACGCACCCAGAGAGTGATGAAGCAAAGGAAGACAGCCAGGGGACAGCATGGGATGACTCCCAGAGGGAGCAATACGAGAGAGTTTATTAGATGACTTTGAGTGATGGACAGTCACTTTCCTTCCCCGCCCTGGTTCCCAGCTCCAAAAGCAGGAGGCTTAATTTCTCATCTCTGTGTCCTGTGAGATTGCAGTTCTTTGAAATAAATTCCTCTCTTCCTCAGTTTCTTATAATCAAAAATTACCTGATTTTAATTCAAATTGTTACGGAGTAATGTATTAGTTGCCTAGGACTGCCGTAACAAATTACTACAACTGAGTGACTTAAAGCAACATACATTTATTCTCTCACAGTTCTGGAGGCCAGGAGTCTCAGATCAAGGTGTCAGCATGGTTGGTTCCTTCTGGAGGCTCTGAGGGAGAATCTGTTCCGTGTTTCTCTCCTAGCTTTGGGGGTTTCAGTAATTCTTGGCATTCCTTGGCTGGTAGATGCATTGCTCCAGTCTCTGTCTTCATCTTCATGTGGTGTTCTCCCCACATGTCTCCGTGATTCTCTGTTTCTTTCTCTTAAATCCAAATCATTGGATTTAAGGCCCACCCTAATCCAGGATCATCGGTCTAGAGATCTTCACCTTAATTACATCTGCAAAGGCCCTTATTCCAAATAAGGTCACATTCTGAGGTTCTGGGTGAATATATCTTTTGGGGGGGACGTCATTTAACCTACTACAAACAAGGTATGAATATCTTTATTGCTGGATTACTCAGCTGGTGGGCATATGCTTAAATAAGCAACAAAGCAGGGGTCCAGAGAAAGATTTTTTTTGAAAGAATATGATTTATTAAAAAAAATGAAGCCCTTATGGAAAAAATTATGATTTAGGATTGCTTTTAATTTTATACTGCAGTGGGAGAAAGAATTCATACTTTTAGTGCCCAGGGTCTCTAAATGTATTAACCAATGTAATTTGTGAATTATAAATAGTTCATGTGATTGGAAGGTAGGATGTAAGAGGGTTTATTGTTGTTGTTGTTGGTTTTATTCTATTTTGTGTCTCACAGTTTATTGAGGCCTCTGGTGACCTTAGCAGGAAGAGCCATCATATTGCTAACCTCAGTGGGTTGAGGTTAAGGAATGAATGGAGGTGAGAAGAATGCTAGTATGGATATCGTTTGCAAGAAGCTTGATTGTGAAGTGAAAGAAAGATTTAGGGGTCTCTGAGAGGTGGTCTGTCACCTCAGAAAGTTGATTAATAATCTGCTCTTTGTGTTTGAATGCTGCAATTAGCTTTAACCTCTCTCAGAACTTCTTAGGGATGGTATCCACTGGTGATGTGTCTTAAACAGTAAAAACCAAAGTTGCAAACCAGGCCTCTAAACTCCCCCCAGGCACCTTCATTCTTTGGGTAAAACGGTGCCTCACTGCCATGTTCACTTAATAGCTTGACATAAAGAACACATATAGTAACCTGAGCATGCCAGGCCCATGCCTTCTTGGTCCTCGGTGCTAGCTAATTTCCCTGCCTGAATGTTCTTCTTCCTTGATTACCTACTTATCTTTCAAAGCTCAGCTGGAATATTCCATTTGTTTTACCATGAAGTTCCAGTGAAGTTACTCATTCTTTAGAACTCCCATAGCACCCTTAAGTTATGTATCAATACATAGCACCTATCACTGTACTAAGGAATTAAGGAATTCCTTAATTTTCTGCCTCTCCCATGACATCATTGAGATCAGGATCCCTGTCTTTCCTTCTTCTAGTCCTCAGCTCCTCACACATTTTGGGCGTATAGTATGAGTTCAATGAGTGTTTATTGAATTCTTCAGTTTGCAGTTAATACATGACCAAACACTAAGTGTGTGTGAAGGGGGACATTGTTGGATGTCTTGCAAAGGAAACCAGTCAGGAGAGAGAAAGAGAGAGAGGGATGAGGCAGACTCATTGTCAGCAACCATTACCCACTTCCATTACTATGAGAATCCAGGTTTTGTGCAGATGTTCACCCTCTTCAAGCAGCCATGTGCCTTGGAGGGAACTCACCCTTGGCCAGCCCAGGGGTGGGTCTGATTGGCCTTGAGTTAATCACATTCCTGTTGTCAGTGATTGATTTGGGAATGGGAATGTCACCCAATTCTGACCAATCACACATGGGAGACTTCAGGGAAATGTTCCCTTGCTCCTAAGAAAGAACAAAACGAGCTGCTGTCTCTTTCTCAGGGTGTTTTCATGTCTGGAGAGGATACCTGGAAATGCCAAAGCCATCTTGCCATCGGCCTGAGAATGGACCCAATGACTGAGGATGGAGGAACACAAAATGGTAAGAGGCTGGATCTGTAATGACATGGCCAGGCTACTGACACTGCCTGTCCAACCCCCTACTCCTTGAGAACTAGTTACCGCAGTTCATGCATTCCCTTATTGTGAAAGGCTGTTTGAATCTGTTTCTATGACTTGAAACCAAAAGCATCCTCACCGAAGCAACTTGCCGTATAGTAAATATTCATTAAGTATACAACTTTATTTTAAAGCGATGACCACAGGAATAAAAGAGCCTGTTCCTTGTGACCCTGTTATGCACCAGGATTTGGAAAAGTAAAATATGCTATTCCTATGGTCATCTCATAAGCCCAAGGTTATGCCATTCATTTGACTATGCCACTCAGATGGTAGAGGCTAAATTTCATTTCCTGGAAGATTAAGAAAAATCTAGTCCTGAGCTATCTGAGGGAAAGTAAACAATGTTGTAAGACACAGACAGGAAACCTTGTTTCCATGGATCACTGACCCAAAGGAAGAGTTACTTTAAGGAGATACATAAAGTTTAAAAAATTGAAGTACAATTCCTTTTAGTTACGTTCTTAAAAATTAAACTAGGATGCCACTGGTACATGAATAGAGAGATAAAACAGAATAGAAAATCAAGAAGTAGACCCCAAAACAAATAGGGATTTAGCATATGATAAAGATCTCATTACAAATCACTGGGAACACTGGATTTTTATCAATGATGTTTGGACAACAGGGTAGTTAGCTGTAACAATAAATACATAATTAAAATTGGAGCCGTACCTCAAATCTTACCAAATAAATTCCAGATGGGTTACAGATTTTAAATAGAAAAATATGAAACCATAAAAATAGGAAAAAAACATAAAAGATTTTCTTGTTGTAATTTATGACTGAAGAAAACCTTTAAATATACGACACAAATTATAGCACTCATAAAAGAAAAGATTGAAAAACTCAATCATGTTTTTAAAAATGTATCCATGCAAAAACAATCATAGCTGAGTCAAAAGTCAATGGACAAATTAGGAAACATATTTGAAGTCATTGCTACACAATCAATAAGAAAAAACCCAATAATGCAATAGAAAAATGGGCAAAGGATGTTGCGTCAGGTGACATGTATTTGCAATTTGGTAATATCTATCAAAATTACAAATACATAATCTTTGATTTAGCAGTTCTATTTACAGGAATTATTTATAATAATTCTGTTAGTAGCAATTCTATTAAATTACAGACATACTCCTATATGTGGAAATCACTTATTGACAGGTTAATCATTACAGCACTGTTTGTAGTACCAAAAAATTGGAAATAATGGAAATGATCATTAATGGGAGAGTGGTTAGACAAATGAAGATACGTTAACATAATGGATTACTATTTATTATAAAAAAAGATTGAAGAGGTCTTTGTGTAGTGGTGTGGAATGATCTCTAAGATATATTATGTGAGAAAAGCATAGTACAGAACAGAATAGTGAGTTATCATGTGTGTAAATAAAAGATGGTGAGAGGATGCCTTATACAAATTTGCTTATATATTTCTGCAAGGAGAAGTAGGAAGTTGATGATGCTGGTGCCTCTGAAAGGAGAGCTGAGTGGCTGGAGCATGTAGGTGGGAGGGAGTCTTCACTGTGTATTACTGAATGCTTTTTGAATTGTGAACTATGTGAATGTATTACCTATTCCCGTTCCAAAATAAATACATTACACTTAAAAAGATATTTGAAAAGAGAGAGAAATAGAAAACCCTTAATGCTTTAAAAAATGAAAACTAAAAATGAATAACTGTAAATTGGATTCAATAAATGCAGTACACCCATATCCGGCATGAGTAGAGCCTAGCATCTCCGCCACCATCTTCAGCCCTCTACCAACCTCAGGTAGACTGGGCCTTGATTTGCCAACCTCAGCCCCATCTCCACCACTTCCCACTCCTCCCACCCCAGGTCAAGCTGTCTGCCTGGGATTTGCCTCTAGGCTTCTGTCTTCTTCGCACCCAGGGCAGAGCACTAAGCCGCGGGCATCCTGCATTTGTCTGATGGGAGACCACTGATGGGAGCGGTTGTCTGTCTGAAGGGTGGAAGAGTAGTTGAGACCTTAAATTTGGCAAATTAGACTAAGGCAGAAGAAAACAAAGCAAGGGAGGAGGCTTTCACCTGTAGAGTAGTGTAACAGGGTGGGTGAGAGGAATGGTAATAAATCACAGGAAGGAGGAGAACCACGTACTTGTCACACTTCAGCTGAATTTTTCTCTTCCCAGAGCTCCATAGTTGATGCCTTATTAACATCAGAGGGGATTTGATGTCTTGTCATAGTCAGTCCTATTGAAATGAAAAGGAGAGAAAATGAAAAGTATGGAAAATGAAAACCAATTGCATTCTTTAATTTTAGTCATCCCATTCCTGGAGCATATTGAATACTACTTTGGGTTCTTTCATTGTTCATGTCATAAATAACAAAGAGTGGAAGTATTTCACATTCCTAAAGAGTCTTTCATCTCAAAGGAACTAAGGTAATTCACTAATTCAGTTACCTGAACTACATTTGGTAATTATTTGAGGATCACTTCACCCAGGGGTGAATATCAACGAGTTGTGTGACACAGCCAACAGTCACTTCATTCTCCAGTCAGTGAGGAAGAAAAACGAATAGCTAATGGGGATGTCCTCCTGAAGGATTTGCCCAGTGAAAACTTCAGGGAGATGGATGCTAAAAGAATGTAATTAACTGCCCGAAATTAATACCTCCAACCTTACTCAAGGTTTCCTGACCTCTTTACTAGAGTCAGGGTGGAGAGCTCTCTAGTAGCTGAGAGACCTGTGAATAGCAGTCACTCCATTGCTGTATTTTTTGAGTGATAATAAATGGTTTTGTGTTTTTAATTTGTTCCCGTGTATTCACTGTTAGGATATAGAAATACAATTAATTTTTCCATTGTTACAATTGATTTTTTATGTTGATCTTGTTATCAGTGAACTTGCTGAATGCACTTATTAGTTCAAGGAATTTTTTTTTAAGATTCCTTGGGATTTCTATGCAGACCATAATGGCATCTGCAAATACGGGCAGTTTTAGTTCTTCCTTTTGTGTCTGTGTGCCTTTTATTTCTTTTTCTTGCCTTATTGAGTTGGCTAGATCATGGCTGAATAGTAGTGGAGGGAGCAGACATCTTTGCAGACATCCTTACCTTGGACCTGAGCTTAGGAGGAAAGCATTCAGTCCTTTACAATTAAATATAATGTTAGCTGTAAGTTTTTTGTAAATGTTCTTTATCAAATTGAGAAAGTTTACTGCTATCTTACTTTTCTGGGAGTTTTTATCATGAATGGGCATTGAATTTTGATCAAATGCTTTTTCTATATCAGTTGATACAAATAGGTGACTTTTCCTCTCGAGTTTATTAGTATGATGGGTTACATTGATTGATTTGCGAACAGCAGTCATTCTAATACAATCTCATTTTAAAGTTTATTTATAAGAAATAGTGTCTCAATCATGTGACCCTATTTTTGGGGGGAGAAAATGTGGGGGTAAGAAGCTGGAGCTCTTCCAGCCAAGGGCGTGCAACTCAGTCCACCTCACTGAATGCAGTGCCTTTCTTCTCTCTTCTGTCTACTCTCTCCTATCACCCAGAGGTCAGGAAAATGCTGCCAGCATGACAGCTGCCCAATACCCATTAGGTTGGTCATCAGACAGTGTAATGTGGAGGGTGGCCACTGCAAAAGCTTGTGTTTGTGGGAGCATGCTCACCGGTCACCACTGCCCAGAGAGAATGACCCTACTTCTTTTTTGCACATGAGTGCATTTTATCAGCAGAAGCTAAATCTCATCTAGAACCCTAGCAGAAAGGGAATTGGGAAAATAGGGTTTTATGCCTTTCCAGTCCCTGTGATCCAGGGGGGAGCATAGAAAAAGGTGGAAGTAGAAGCTGAGGACCAAGGGGCAGTATCTAGCCCTCCTCTCTGCCTCACTGAATCTGACAGAAGCCAGAGACCTTCCATCGTCTCTTCACAATTTCTTTCTTAATTTCTCTTAATTTTTTTTTTTTTTTTTGCGGTACGCGGGCCTCTCACTGTTGTGGCCTCTCCCGTTGCGGAGCACAGGCTCCGGACGCGCAGGCTCAGCAGCCATGGCTCACAGGCCCAGCCGCTCCACGGCATGTGGCATCTTCCCGGACCGGGGCACGAACCCGTGTCCCCTGCATCAGCAGGCGGACTCTCAACCACTGTGCCACCAGGGAAGCCCTGCTCTTGCCCTATTGATCGTGTGATTCGTGTCTGGCTGTTCGTAGGAAAACCAGACAAAATCAAAATTGTCATAGGGTAAAGAACTTTTCCAAAGGAAAATATAGGATCCAGATTGCTCATTGTCTATTTGTGAGTTCACTAATTAGCTCATCCATTCAGTCAAAAAACCTGGGTGCCTGTTATGTGCAAGTCACCTCATGGAAGAAGTGGGCTCCCACGCTGACCTGATCTATGTGGCCAATAAAAGTGCCCCCATGTGCTAGGCCCTGTCCCATATGCATCATATTCTTGTCTGATCTTCACAACAACCATATGGTGTAGGCATTTATCATGCGATTCTAATGCTTTCGTCTGCCCCCTCTTTTGACTGAAGAGGTTGCACAATACGCCCTCCCCAATCATTTATTTACCTAATTTGGGGGACACCTATTATGTGCTAGGCCCTAGGGTTATGGCCAAACAAAACAGAAAGGATTTATCTGACAGACCTGTCAATCTATTAATCATAGTGCCCTGCTTACTCCCAAGCACATGACCTAAGCCTGGCCCATCGAGAAACTTCGTGTCTTTTTTGACAGTGATTGGGCTGGAGGGTTGGGAGCATGACCCAAGTAGGGCCAATTAGCATCATTCTATGCCACGTGATCCAATTCTGGTTGCTGAAAAAGAGAGAGCTTCTCTTTATTCATCTGAGCCTTAGATTCAGATGTGTGTGCTACCTATTCCACTGTTATAGTTGCCAGCTGCATAAGCCAATAAAATCGTTTTTAGCTTAA